AGCCTCCTTCCTGAAGTATTTTTTCCCCAGGAGATGATGTCAAGAAGAATCTTTCCTAAATCTCTCTATACAAAAAACAAACAAGCAAAATCTCATCACTTTATGATTATTTAAAAAAAAAAGTGGTGGGGAATGGAAAACAAGCTATGCATAGGCCTGTTTAATATCTTTTTATTCTGCTTACTTACTGATGTCATTTATAACACTTAAGACATCACTGCTACATAAGAGTTCAAACTCACGACCACCAAGCTGTGTACCTATGTGATATGCACAAGTATTTTAAAATCATAATTAATAAACTTGCCTTTTAAAAACAGAAAATACTGTCCCTTTGATGATGTAAAATTAGTTTGAATAGCATTAGAAAAAGATTAAAAATTTCTATTTAGTACTTGATAATCATATCAACTAACATTTGGCAGATGAAAATGATGGACACCTATCAGCCCAGAAGATGACTATTTTTGCTAGTTACAAGATATAACATTCATGTCTGAAGAATACATGTGTTATTTGCATCACACAATTACATTGCTCCATCAGTCATTCCTCTGTTACATACACGTTCCAATACAAAGACCGGGTCAATGTCTACACTTATGACAAATAAGCATGAAGTAACTGGAGGCATTAAGCATAGGATAGAGGCATCCAACACTCATAGATCATGTGCATCTAAGCTAGAATAGCTCAGCATTTTCACAGCAGGAAGTAGATTGTGTGCTGTACAGACTATAAATGGTGATGCTGACAAGCACTGTAAAAAGACAGACTCCTGTCCAGATGCTAGAAATTCTACAAACCCATTAGAACTCCATGAGAGAAATTTAAACCAAAATAGTGTCTATTTGAAAATGGATTCAAAAACTCTCATTTACAGTAAAGTTGTGACTTTCACGTAATTACAAAACTCAGAATGAGAGCTAAATGCATACAAGTCTGTGGGGGCATCAACATATTTTTAGCATTTCTATGATAATCTAGAAGAAAAAAAAAAAAACAACAACTGCTTTTCACCACAAGTAGCACAGTAAGTAGCACATTCTTTTCAACATCTTTCTATTCCAAATTAATCAAGCTGTAATTACTGGCCTCTATTGGGTATTTGGATATACATTGGGCTATTTGGATATACATTTGAGGGATGCCCTGAGAAAATTCATAGTCTTTAAAAGAAAAAAAAAGATTTTTGGAATTTCCTACACATTTGCTGATATTTTTCCCCCTACACGTCCTGTTATATACAGTACTATTTGTATATTGTACTTCAATACAATTCAAACTCCCCAGTTTCACTGCATGACCTGAATATATAGAAAAAATAGATAATGACTTTAACTGACATATGACAGTAGACTGTTAATCAAAACACCCAGTTTATAAATCTTCACTACGTAACAATTTCTTTTTCTTTGTAAACTATTCAGGTGGTATAGCAGAGATGGAATTAGAAAGAAAGTATTTGATCTGAATATTATAACCCTGGAACATTACTCATTCTGATTCACGCAGCCTATTGACTTTTTGGGCGTACTCTGTAAATGAGAACAGTGAAGTGACCCCAGCTGCCACTTCTTATGGAACTTGAATTCCAGGAAAAATGCTTAACTCATCAGACATTTGAGCTTATTTCTTTCAATCAAAATATATTAGTAGATATAATGAGAATCAAAAATCTATTTCCTTAGAAGACAATTTTGATATGAACACCATCCAAGACATTTTTTTAAGACATAATAAAACATCCTTACTATTACTCAACAATGTGCATTCAATGAGCACATTACTTGCCTTATTTTCCTGAGTTTTAATTAAGGAGGTGGAACAGGAAAAACCTACAGCACTGCAAGCACGTATGAGTGAAGCTGGCAGCACACATGACTGAAGCTGATTTAACTTCAAGATACAGATACATAGGGGTGTATATAAAAGACAAGCTGGATGAGGAATTTCACCATCCCTTCAAGAGCACCCCAGACCTGAGTTAAGAGTAGAATTTAGCCGTATTTTCTGGCCATATAAATCCTCAGTCAGCAGATTACATGATTTTTTTCATACAATGCTTTCAAACCCAAACATGATAGACTCTGTAGCTCTCACAGACAAGTTGCCCAGCTCTCTTTTTCCCTTTCCTGCAATGTAAAGAAGATGGCAGTTATATCTCATGGACAGACAGGAAGAAATAGGTTGTTCTAATTCAACTAGGTTTTCTCTGTCCTCAGGTAGAATGACTTGCCCTCCTAAGAATCTTATCTTGGTAGTCAGAAAGCCAGGAATCTGCATCTGCCCCAGTTCTTTCAGCAGTTCAAACCTGAGTTCCTTATTTTGCAGAAAAAAAAAAACACCAAACCAAAACAAAAATTTAGATTACCTCTGCTCATGGACAGATATTATTTGAATGCTTTTATATAACTGAGTTCACATTGAGGATAATACTGCATTCTGACACCTGCAAGCATGTCAATAAGTAAAAGACAAATGTTTGCTGGGCATTCAAATGTATGTTGTATTCCTAAGTTTTGTAAATGCATCAACTACCACAAAGTGTTTGAGAACCAGCAAGTCCAAGCCAAAAAAAAAATATGAAGAAGGCGTACGTATAAACTTAAGTTGCTACTGGCCTTAGAATTGCCATAAAGTTCCTGCTCTTCCATTCTACAGTAATGTAGCCTTGTTAAGCAAACTATGTACATTAGGTTGAAGAGCAAATTCAAATGCTTACTGTCCTTGAGTTGCCTTTGCCACTACACAATAATATTATTTACTGCTTTGGTGTCTTCTCACAAGTGCAGTAGGAACAATTGAGACCTAGGAGTACCATGTGCTCAGCTCTGGAGTTGTATTTGTGCAAAACAATTCTGTTCTGTTATTTGCAGAAAGGGAAGAAAAAATGGCTCAGCACAGAGATTTCTTAGACCAATTACAATTCAGTGAGATGTATAAAGAACTGTGTGAATGCAAGTTGAAGTCAAAAGGAAAGCATTCTTAAAACAAGTTTCATAGCTGTAAGATTTGATTATGATTTATGATTATGTAAGATTTGATTATTATTTGATTAGCTCTAAGATTTGATTATGACAGGTTTTAGGAACAGATTAACTTTTCAGCTCACAGCAGTTTCATGGAAAAAATAACAGCAAAAAAAAAAAAAAAAAACCAACAAATTAAAAAAACAGGAATTCGAAGATAAGAACTCAAGCTTTGAAAAAGATCAAGTTTTTCACACAGAGTATCAATGTGCAATAAAGGTTAAGAATAGATATCTGAGGAGCAATGCTGAACCAAAATATAAACAGTCTATATCCAGCAAAACAAATGCAGCAGATTCGCAGAATTACAATGCATGGAAGTTTCAAAAGGAAAATCACTAAACATGATCCATAAATGGATCTGATGTGCACATATCTATGCACACTTTCCTCTTCATTCTCTGCTACAGTAGCCGAACAAGATTTTCCAGAAATTTAGATGTTTTAGTCAAGGTTCCAACAGCACTGAAAGCTTTAATAAGTGGAATACTATCAGCATTACAGTACTTAAAAATATGCATTGTCCCTGCTTATGTGATAAACAGGAGTCAACAGAATCTTTAAAATTGCTCTGGTAGAGGAAAGAAAAGGTAAAGACCTTTTGGATTTCATTGTATTTTTTTCAATCTCCAAAAAGTACAAAAGCAAACAAACAAATAGCAATAACAAAAACTCCTACTATACATTTGCCTCAACAAAGATACAAGCCTCTCATACACCGAGGAAACGTCTTATGGACCTAGTATCATAGAACCTTCTGTCTTGAAAAGAAAATTTCACTCAGGAAGCATTTAAAGAAAAGGCAACTCTGGTAAAACCAGCACCTGTTAACATGAGGCACGCCATAAATTTGGTATGATATAAATATTATTCTGACAATTTCTTAAAAGGCTTTCATTTCATTATTACATGGATATTAATTTATCAAAAAAAAAATCTGTATGATAGTTGCTTCTTAATCCACATGAAAGAGATTTTGAGATTAATAATGACAGAGATAAGTGCATTCTCTGTTTTTAGCTACTATTCCAAGTGATGTTTCATTCTCTCTTGAGAAAGCTATCTTTTATATGGCCATCTGCATAGTAAGTGAGAAAGAAAGGGGGAGGTTTTCCAAGCAGGGATGTTATCAGAAAAGTGTGGGTATAGCCCTAATAGACAGATGTCTATTTCATTATTTTAAGTTGCTCAATCAGCTTGACAATTCTAGCACCATTTATGAACTTGAGAGAGACAATTTGCTTACTGTGGGAAAGAAAAACAGAAATCTCAAGAGAACTGAAGTATTTCCATCTGGAATCATGCAAGGATACAGTGTTAATAAAATGCTTTTTGTCTCAGCTTTTGTCTTTAGTTCAAGGACGAAAAAAAAAAAAAACTAACAACAAAAAAACCCAAACAATAATTCTTTTACCATGACTTATATTATCAATCCAAAACATAACAGTGTTAAGGCCACATTAGTTGTAAGTTCTTCTGCGTACTGAAAAAAGTGGAGCCCTGCAAAAACACTTCCTTGCATTCAGCACCATACTCTACGTAACAGCAGATTTTTACAGATATGTGAGACAACTCATGCTTGAAGTCTAGTTTTCAAACTAAAAATCAAATATAAAATGCACACACACAAAATCTCTTCACATCCATTACATGCTGATTTTTTTTTCTAAAAAAGCAGAGGTCTTAAAAATAGATAAATTTATCAAAATTTAATCATTAATTTATGAATGTTACTCCAAAAGTAATGACTCCTATTTATTTCTATGGAAATTACAACAAATACAAAAAGCATAGTAATACTATTTGACAGAGTAAATTCTTAGCTACAAAACATCTTTTTCAACAGTCACCACCATTAGCTATACATTTTCACCAGCGATGAACAGGAGCTCATCAAACTCCACACCAGTGGAGGTAACACACTCTTTTAGAGCTGCTATGATCATGCTGTTGCTAGCTTAATCTTACCCATGCAGTCCATCTTTCATCAGCCCAAAAAGATATCAGTCAGAAAATGCCAAATCCAGACTATACAATAGGCGTGGTAGGACAATCCTGCCAAGATTGGCAATGTGCTCCACAGAATTCAAATTGGCACTGGACCTGTTGAAAGAGAAGGGCAGTCTTTGCTGACTTGACTCTGGAAGTTGTAGCCTTCAGATTAGTCCGAGCCATGATGTCCCAGTCAGCGTTGATGGTTTGTTTGGGTTCCAGGAAACCCTGAAGGATCATCTTCTCTATTTCAAAAGACAGTGCACATCATTTTGCACAGCAACAGCCACATCTTGAACTTTCTCCTCAATGGAGAATTCACATCTTGCCACTCCATGTACTATCATTTTGCCTCTAACACACAGTTAGAGACACTGCATCTTGTCATCAGTAATGATATGATATGGAAAATATTCACCTTCAGCCTCATATTGGTTCAATAGGTCCTGACAAGCTTGCATACTGTGTTTATCCTGCTGTGATCATTTATAGGGTACACTTGGCACAAATTCTGCAATATTCCAATAATGCTACCATTGTTTCCAATGCATCAAAACCAATATTCAGCTCTATACACAGTTCCCTGGTCATGATCTGCTGATTCATGCACGTGAACTTATTGAGACGCTCTTCATTCTACAGTGTGATACCTGTGCATGGCCATCCAAAACATGACTCATGTTTCACATTCCTCTTTCCACTGCTAAAATGCACCACCTACCACCTTACCATTCTCGCATGCACAGTTTTACTCCCATAAACATTCAGCAAGTGTTGATGAATATCAGTGGGTGCCATTTCTTTCACATGGAGGAATGACACATCTTTGCTTCATATGTGCTTCCAGATCAGATGCCATTTGTTGGAGGGTCCCTCTGCTGCCATCTGCTACATGGCAACAAAATACAACAGAATATTGGCAAGAAGGTTCATCCTCAATCACCATATTACCAACATCCGCCTCTGATGTCATGGGCCAACATAACAAAGAGCATCCCTTGTATGTTAAAATAATTTGATAATAGTTACAAATAGATATTTTCATAATGGACTATTTTTAATTATGATAAAGATGTTACCAGTATCCGAAGCCTTTTATAATGCTCAGACCTCCTGGAACAAGTAAATAAGCAAACCAGAGGAGGAGACTGCCTTTCAATGTCCTGTATCTCGTGATACAAACGATCTTGGAATGAGATTAATTTCTACTTTCAATCAAAAATTAGAAGGTAGCTAATGGATCTATTTCTCTTGTCTTTGAATCTGCACTGATTCAATTTTAAGCTTATAGAGTACTTTGCATGGCATTGAAATACATATTGCGTTACATTTGCAAGCACCTGTCTTGGAGACAAACAACCACTCAATTACACAAATTTATCTTTTTCTTACTGTTAGTGAACTTTTATTCCTACGTTCTCCTTCCCACACTGGAACACACTGGCCTTTTTTCTCCAGTATAGCAGAAGCAACCATTAGTTACCTATTTCACGTTGAACTCCAGTGATCTCCTTTTACTCTGCATTCCAAATGCAGTTTCTTATTCTGTACATACTTTTTCCAGCTTTTCATTAAAGGACTCTCTGGATAAAGCTATCCAGTTCTGCTAATTCAAATGTGTTTGTTTTTAACAGCCATTATTTACTCAGTGAGTGTAAAGTATTTCGCATCTCCTTCCATAGTGCAGCATAGCTGGAAAGACACAGAATGTACCACAGTGTTATTTCCAGAACACTTTCATTTCGTCCCTTATCACTAACAACTTCATTGTCTCATGTAAAGAATGTAACTCTCAGAAGAATCCAAAAAATTTTATGAAAGGGAACAGACGTGAAAAGTGCAGAGAAAAGAAGAACTAGAAAAGAAGTAACATTCCCCTCTCCGCAGAAGAAGCTTTGCTTACAAGATAAGTTGGACTGAAAGATAAGAATGAAATTATAAGAAATGTTGAATGAACAGATGATGTTATAAAAGCAGAAAATGTTGTGAGAGAAATTAGGCAGAATAACATACAATCATGACCAGGTCATGGAAATAATCCTTTTTGAGGAGGACAGCTGAACCAGTGCTAATGGTTCCATAATGAGATAAACATCTCCATCAGCTTTCACACTTTAATTGTTGAAAAGACTACTCACATCCTGATTTGCTCATGTTCCAGAGGTACTGAATTCTCACCTCTTTTCATATTGACCATGTTTGTAAGGAAGACAACTGTACTTTCTCAAAGTTTTATAGTATCTCCTTGTCTCTTTCAAAACACTTCATTCAGAAGAACTTATAATACATTGCATCACAGTTCAGGTTCTGCTTTTCTGACCTCAGGGAAGCTCATACAATGAAATAAGAACTATTTCTACCTCTCTCCCAGCAAAACACACATACATATAAATAAATACATATATACACACATGTATGTGTGCATTCACACATATACACACATGCATTTATGTATATATATGTGTATATTTTGCTGGGAGAGTAAAAAACAAATTTACAAATGTGTACCATATATACTTTGTGTGTATATGTACACACACACACACACAAACACATTCCTTTCAGTCTTTCAGAACAAGATTCTCTAGAAAAACCACAAGGGAAAGAAACTGTCACCTCTGTCTCATGCTGTCATCTTGGAAGAGATGGTGTTTTGAAGTTGAAACAAAAAGGCAAAAATGATGATAAGCTTTCTTATCAAAACTGAGCACATCTGGAATTTCAGAAAAGCCTATGTTGCAAGAACATGCAATACATCCACATAGTGAAGTGAACATACAGAAAGATAGTTCTGGATTTATTGATTTATAAACAGCAGGAAGTGAATAAATGTGTTTATTTAACTATGGGTGCCAAATCAGGATAAGGTCCATAAGAAATATCCACATCTAAGCATTCACATGGGTGACTTTTATAACTGCACCTGCGAAATACGTTTCCTTCTTGTGCAGACAGGTTACCTACACAAAGTATGTCAAACTGCAGAGCAAGGCATAACAGATGTACTCAAAGGAAGGCAGGAAATATGATAGTCCCTAGATGTCATTGCCATTTTTACTATAAAACCTAACTGACTTTTATTATAAAATGCAAAGGGGAAGAAGTTTATATTATCAACAGAGTAGAATTCTACATGGCGTGAATCTACAGCTTCAAATACACACGGAGATCAAGTCTTTCACTGAATTGCTTAAGATAAAACTAAAGTCCTATACACTGGCAATCTACAAATATGGAAATAGAAAATGGATTATGAAACACAGGTTTACCACTGAAGTATAGCGTGACCTTAAATAACTCTCTTTATGTCATTTATTTCAGCAGTAAATTGGGGTTAACCACACTCAGTAAGCAGATGTATTGAAAAATCTCAGCAGTTGAAAGTGCTTGTGCAACCCCAAGTGGCACACTTCTGAGTACTAGGACAGCATTACTGGCGTTGCACAGCTGCATTCCTCAGCCCCATTAATCCTCCAGAGGAAGTCTGTAGGGAAGCCCCACATAGCATTCCAAGTGCAACCCGGATTACTGGCAACATCTTCCTCCACTGTTCACAGTAAATAAATAGAAAACAAAGAACAAATTCCAAAATATATGAAGTTAGCTTTTGAATGAGTAACAACACTACTTCTGCACACAGAAAATAGTTAGCATTGAAATTTCTTCGTGGTTTTGAGTATATAATTTGATAATTGCTTATCATTCACATCAGCTATTGCTGTTTGAAATAAGCAGTTAACCACTATATAACTCAGCATCTTTACAATGCACTGCCTCACAAGTTTCTATAGGGGATAAACTTCAAGTAAATGAATGTCTGATATTCCTGAAGAATTCCAATTTGTTACTTTTTATTTTTACATTTGGTCAAGGAAGATGTAGTCAGAAATCACCTTGGCAAACATAACACACACAAATCTGTGGCTCCTGAAGGGGCCACCAGTGTTGAGGGAGCTGGCAGAAACGACTGCCAAGGCATCTTCTATCGTATTTCAAAAGTCACGGAAAATGGAAGAGGTATCTGAATACTGGAGGAAAGAGTCTAGTCTTGTTCACATCTTCATCGGTGACCTGGATGAAGGGATAGAATGCACCCTCAGCATGTTTGCTGATAATACAAAGCTGGAAGGAGAGGCTGACATTCAGTGGCTGAAGAAGAATGTGCTTCCATTTAGAGTGAACTGGACAGGATGGAAAGTTGGGCAGAGATGAACTTTACAGGCTTCAACAAGGACAAGTACAGACCCTAAACCTGGGGAGGAATAATCACATGTGTTGACACAGGTTAGGAAGTGACCTGCTGAGAAAGAGATCAGCAGAGAAATTCCTACGTGTCCTGGTGGACAGCAGGTTGCCCATGAGCCAGCAGTGTGCTCTTGTGGCCAAGAAGGCCAGTGGCATCCTAGGGTGCATCAAAAACATGTCCAGCAAGTTGAGGGAGGTGATCTTCTCCCTTTACTCTGCCCTGGTGAGGCCACAACCGGAGTTCTGTGTGTCCAATTCTGGGCTTCTCAGTGTGAGAAAAACAAGGAACTTGCAGAGGGAGTCCAATGGAAGGCCACAGAGATGATTAAGGGCCTGGAGCTTCTCTCTTATGAGGAAAGGCTGAGAGACCTGGGACTGCTTAACCTGGAGAAGACTGATTGGAGAGACCTTACCAATGCATATATATATATATCCACAGGGCAGAGGTCAAGTGGATGGGGCCAGGCTCTTCTCAGTGGTGTCTAGGAATAGTACAAGAAGCAGCGGGCACAAACTAGACCACAGGAAGTTCCTTGCAAACATGAGGGAAAAAAAAAAAAAAATACTTTGAGAGTGATAAAGTACTCAGACTGGAATTGTGGATTCCTCTTCTCTAGAGATATTCAAAACCCACATGCACACTTTCCTGTGAAACCTACTGTAGGGAACATGCTTTAGCAGGGGGGGTTGGACTAGACGATCTCCAGATGTTCCTTCCAATCCCTACAGTTCTGTGATTTACCTGAATATGCTCAGAGTAGAGTAAGTTCCCAAAAAAGCTCATGGTGAGGAAGGGGAAGCAGAGCTGCAAGCCTTCTTGTCACCCACCTAATATCAGTGCAAGAGCACTGTAACTAGCCCCGAGTGACACCAGGATCAAGCTATACATAATGTCAGACCTATACACTCTCATGCATAAATAGTCATTTTTGTAAAAAGAATGAATCAGTAGGTCAATGCAAAAGTAACTAGGAGTAGGATTAGATGTACCTGAAACTATCACAAAAGATTAACAAGGCCCATCATGTGCACCTATTCTCCCACCCCGAAGTATTACCACTTCTTTCAAAAATACCAATCACCAAAAAAAAAAATCTATTTTGCTTAATGTGGCTAAAACTAATATGTATGTGTATGTATATTATATGAAGTATGTCTTTTTTCTTTTATGGAAAAAAGCAAATAGTAATGAAGACATCAGCTCTCAGCTGTTATCTTTAAAGTTCTCTCTTTAGGAAGTTAAGATTAATAGTTTATAAAGAAAAAAAGTTTAAAAAGCTTCTAGTTTGATATATTTTAAATACATAATTTTTTTTTTTTTTTTTTTTTTTTTTTTTTCTTCAAGTGCTGAAACACTGTTAAACAATGTAACAGAATCTGGAACTATCTGACTTTTAATTTTTCTGAGAATCTAAGGGTGCCATGTACTTAGCTCACATTTACTAGATTCCTTAAAGTATAGGCTTTTAGTTTCTTATTCCTTTATGAGCTGATACATTACTCTTCTGTCAGATAAGTGGTTAGATTGAAAATACCATAAGAGACACGAGCTTTACTTTTATTTTGAAGTATTAAATGTAAAATCCCATCTAGGCATTAAAAATAAATTACTGCTCCCAACATCATCCTGACAAACTTAATTGATCAATGAAGTCTCTTTCCTTCATAAAGCTTTCCCAGTGCAAACATCAAGAGACATCACCAAGCAATTGATCTGCAGGCAGGACCAGGCCCAAGAACTCAGCACCAACTTTGTGTATAAAGGAAGACCACTGCCTGAGAAACAGTCAACATCACCTAACACAGTGCAGTCACAAAACTGTACTGTTTTATTTCCAAATCATATGAAAGTTATTTCTGTCCATGCTACTTACTGAAGTAATGCCATAACTACTCTGTGAAGCACTACAACGCTCTGATTGATGCCCTCAAGGCTCCTGACTATTTCCACTGACTAGACAGGAAGCACAGACACCACAGATCTTTATGCAATGCAGTGTAAGCTCACAACATAATGCAAGGAAAGACCTGACATATAAGGCTCAAGTTTTAAGCACAGACTGAAGTAGAAATGAGCAACCTCCTAAGATCCAAGTTGTCATGGTAAGAAAAATCCTTTGTCTTAGATTTGGTTATTTCAAGAATAGACAATATACTATAACCTAGCATTTGATAAATTCATGTCACCTAGTCTTGTGTTAACCTGTTGAAACATTGTCTGAAACCTATCTAAACTCACAGGAGATAGAAAACTAAAACAGCATCACCTGATGAGGCATATCCAGATGCTCTGATCATGACCCAGTGAAATCAACTACAGCTTTCTCCTGAATTTTCCTACAAGTTAAGCTAAATCTTCAAAAACTGAATTTCAGTAATGAATTTCTGTATGCATAATTCAGGCCCCAGTAAACTGAAATTGTTCTGAACAAAGTAACCTTAGCCTGCTAGTAGAACATACCCAAGTCAGTTTGTAGCACAGAAATAAAATAAAATAAAAATAAAAATGGGAACTATTTAAATGTTGAGTTTGTATTGTATTTTTCAAAATACTAATCCTACGCACTACCAATGATGATAGTGATACAGTGTTGAACTACTTTTTACTTGTACCAACACTCACTTCTTAATGGGCGCAAGTTTGTATATCCAAAATTTAAAAGAACAATTGACGTGAAGGATTTCATTTTCCACAGTTCAGATTTTAGTATCTTTTCATATTTTTTGTATTTTTTTTCATATTTTATAACATTCTAGATTTATTTTTTTTTTTTTCCAGTAAATGCAGTACTGCATGCAGCAGTCAGAAAAAGTGTATTAATGAATGTGCTTGCACATCTGGCTACAGTACAAGTTCAACCATTTTTCAAATCCTCAACATTGCCAGCAACTGCCAATCAAGGACTGAGAAAATTAAGTGTTTTCTTGAAGGACTTGATTTGTCTCTGTATACACATTAGCTAGAGTGCTACTGTTTGGCTAAAAACAGGATAAATTAATTTGTAGTCAATCATCATCTTATCCAGATCCACTGTCTTCCAAAACTGCGAATAAAACACTTTTGCAGAACCCTGGCAATCCCAGTTTACCAGCTGTACACTGAAAAGGAACATTAAGTTACAGAAGAAAAGAGAAGTGGAGAACAAATGCACTATTATTCAGGCAGCTTATCTCCTCCAAAAAACAGACCTACGGTTACTCCTCTTTAGAATCAGTCTTTAGTGAATTCCATTCATATTACAGAAATACAAGGCATCTATGTTCCATACAGTTTAAAAACTGCACATTTTTGAAAAAAGCATATATAAAATTTACACTCCAATCCATTAATAGTACAAGTACAAAAGCTATCTGCTGAGGAACTCTTCCTATTTAAGAAGTAAGCTTACACTATAAATAGCTTAAGTAATAAAAACAAATTTAGTTAGGAGGGAACAAAACTTCATACTGAGGATTTTACAGTTAGCTGATTTTCATATCATCCTTACTTTCTAAAAAGTCACAGATGCACAAAAGAAAGTGAGATATCTGACTCCACACTTGAAGAAGTGTGGAAGAAAAAAAAACATAAATATTTATCCTTGAGCCTTCTATAGCACACAACTGCATTCTTGTCACACATCCCTAACTCAAGGTGTTCAGATCCAGTCTGCATATAGAGGGTACACTCAGAAATGTGAAGATAAATCAAATGGAGATGAAAATCAGTGGTGAGTTATAACAAACTGTTTCCAATGCAAACACTCAGGGCTAAAAGATCTCCTACTTTGCATAGCACAGATCCTCAGAGAATTTTTTCACCCAGCAATTCCTTCAGCTGGGGAAGCAATTACAATAAAGAGACTTGGGCTAACTCTTAAAACAGTGCTTTTACCCTGCTCAGAAAATGCCTTTGTTTTCCCTTGTATTCACTGCATCTTTAAAGGTAGCAGCCAACTTTTAAAGCTTATTTTTAATGTGAATCAGGAATGTGCAGAAGGGAAATCAGTGTGGCATGGCTACACCTAACAACAACCTCCTGGTGAAAGGGCTCTAAAACACTTTGCTGAAAGAGGTCTTCTCTCTTGTAATTTACCAGGTCGATTATCACCAGTTCCAAGGGAGAATCATGTCTCCGAGGGGCAAGAAGCTGTAAAATTGCATTTCACAGGGGAGGTGGGGAAAAGAAAAAAAAAAAAAAAAAAAAAAAGCACAAAACTGCTGATGATCACAATTATTCACCCTCAAACTATCTCAGGTATTTATTTCTTGTTCCTTTCTTCAGAACCCACTATACTTGAGAATCCTTAAGGACTCTTTAAAACCAACAACTATGCTTACAGAAAAATTCAAGAGTTAATAGGTGTTTGGAAATCAGAGATATGGAAAAAAATAATAAAATATGACTTTTAAAGTAGCAGCAAGGTTATGCTTCACTAATCTCTGTTCACCCCTCTTTTGAGATGGAAGCAGCAGGATGCCAAGATCCTTCCTTTAGTCAGATGCTGCAGCTTTGAGTAGCTGAGGCAATGGTAGGAGATCTAGCGTCCTGCATTACCATCTTCCAGTATTTCACAACAAAGAAGGGCACAGTCCTTCTGCAGTCCTGCCCTCACTAATGTCAAACATAGAGAGATGCCAGATGATTTCCACCACATGAGTGAGAATTCTTCACTCTTAAAAGGAATGTTATGGGACTGTGGATGCCATTCAAGCAATGAGAAGATATTTCTGACTCATAAAAGAGAAACAGCCAAGCTGAAAATATACTAAAAGCTTGTACTTACAGAAAGACAGAGAGCTTTTACAAGAGAAGGAATTCACCCAACATAAACTCCTCCAGTTGTCTGACAGAGGACAAATGTGATAGATGAATGGCACGTTTCTCTAGATTAAGGTAAATATTCCCTTGAACTTCAGGCTCCACCAGCATCGGTGCCACCCAACAGGAGAAAGAAGCCAGACAACCGAAGTTTAACTTTCCATTAACAAAGCCGGCAGTAACAGAAAGTAGGATAGGCAGTGATGGCGGCTTCCCCGGACTATAAGGTTTATTCCCTAACACATTACTCTGAAGAAGACCAGAAGAAACACTTTACATTTTCTATCCGGCGTTCCGTCACTTTTCAGTACTTTGAAAGCCTCACCGAGAAGAGCGACGGGGACGCGCGCGGGTGAGGGTCAGTGCCGGCGAGAAATCCCCCGCCGGGCAGAGCAACACCGCTCCGCCCGTAGCAGCGCTGCCAGACCCGCACCCGCACCCGCCCCCCGACCCACGTCGCCCGGCCTCCGCGCTCCAGCGAGGTGCGAGATGAGGTACCGGCGCGGAGTTAGTCGTTGACTCGCAGCCCACTTCCCTACAGCTCCTCTGGTGCACTTCCCAGCCCCAGCAGCTCGGCTGCGGCTCATCCCCCGCAAAGGCGGGCAGCCAAGCCCCTCCACCCCTCCCTGCGGCCACCGTGGCCCGCGGACTACCGCCGCCTTCCGCTCACCTTCCTGCAGGCGGGATCTCCTCTACTCGTTGCAGCGGCGCGGGCGCCGTTGAGCGTCCAGCGGTGAGCTCCGTGAGCGCCGAGCCGTACCGCACGGAGCCCCAGCGGCAGCGGCCGCCGCGCTGCCAGCGCTGAGGCGTGAGGGCGGCCCCACGTGCGTTCGTTGCACCAATCGGCTCCGCCCGCCACCGTCCCGGGCCGCCCGCAAACCGGGCGCGGTGGCGGCCCCCGGCCGGGCGCTGGTTTGGGAAGTAGGGGAAAGCGAAACGCTGGGCTGGGAGTTTTGGATCTCCGGACGGGAGGGAACAAAGTAAACCTAGGCAGAGAGCGTCCCGAGGGGGCTTCAGGGCCCGAGCAAGGGCTGAGGGAGTTGAAACGGACAAGGCTCTGAAGTGGAGCGCATTTATAAAGCAGCCCTTCAGTTTGCCGAGAACTGAAATGTGTTCGCGGCTTGTCAAAGAATAGCAGCAGTGTAGGAGTGGCTCTAGCTTTTCTAAATGGTCCGAAAATAGAACAGCGCTACAGCAGCAAAGGGAACCTTTTGCCAGGAGAGCAAGAGCAGCTGGTGGAGCTTGGGACTTCTTGAAAGGCACAACCATCGCATTTTATAAAGCATCAGACCTCAGCTAAATTGTAACAGAGCACCACACACAAAGAGTGCAACTGGAAACAAATGTTGCCCCTGTACTCTGCTCCCTATTTGAGGTGTCCAGTCTCCATGTCACACTTCCGGCAGCACTGCGCTCACTGTGGCCAAACTTAACAACAACAATTTGGGATGAAAACATGCACTCTAAACATACTCTAAACATTTTTTGTACTGTCGTTTGTGATGTTTACAACTTTGCATTGTTGTATGATTGTTAACAGGAACTGTAATCAGTTTCTATTATTTATTGACACTGCACTGTAGGTTGGTGAGTTGCTGTGTGTGCATTTTGTTCCCATCATTCTGTCTTCTAGTTATTGGTGTGACATACTGATAGTTGTTCCCAGTGGCCTCAGTTTCTCAATCAATTACTGTCTATCATACTGCTGCTCCTGCAGACTGCTCATGAAATGTGCTCTCAACTCCACCAAGTGACTCACCTTAATTCCAATGGATTTTTGCACAGCTGTCGTAGAAACAGGCTGATCAACTTTTGTTGTAGGCAGCAGCTTCCCACAAATGCTTTAGTGCCTCCCATCCTTGTTGCAAAGATTATCAGCCTCCAGCGTCCTTCTCTTTTTCCTATCATTTGAGTATATTTTTCCAAAAAAGACAGCCTCCTTTGTAGTATGATCCTTGTTACCCATTGTATCTCCAGCACCCTTGGGCTTATGCACAGGTGCCCAGCCATGAGAAGTAGGGAATACAGGCCACAGCTCTGAGAGGCAATGCCATGAACAATGTCAGGTGGTAGCAAGGACAGTCAGACTGTTGTAGTGTTCAGTCCTTCAAAAAGCCCATGACTATCCTTTTTAGAAAGATAACCTGAGATTGGCCCTGATGTGTGTTTTTATCTGCTATGTAAATATTGAGTCTTCTGAACTTTATGATGTCTCCACAGCCACACAGATCAGTAACATAGAAGATGAGGAAGTCATTAAATTACTGCTTCCAGAAACCAAGAAGAAGAAAGAAGAATGCACATTTGGGCACAATCAAAATGACACCTAGCAGCCCTTAGGTCTTTTTTTTTTTTTTTTTTTTTTTTTTTTAATTTATTCTTCTTTTACTTCCACTACTGTTTTCTGGTGGTTATTCTCTTTTCCCTGTAAGTTCTCTGAAGGTAACGTGTTTCAAATTAGAAAGTTGAAGTCTAGGGTTTTGTTTTTTGTTTGTTTGTTTGTTTTTGTTTGTTTGCTTTTTGGCAGGTATTCCAAACTTTCAAAAGTGCCTCATTTTTGCTACCATCATCTTTTAGTCTTATGGTATTTACTTTCAGTAAGTTAACTGCTACTAGTAATGCTAAACTATCTTGATAGACTTCAGGTTATGTTTAAGCGTTTACAATGATATGTACTGTTCTTCTAAAATGGCTTCTTAAATGTCCTTGGGCCTTGTTGGATTGAAGTGTCATGCTTGTGCTCAGCCATTGTTCTGATCCTACATGAAGATAAATGTACTACTTAGATAGCACAACAAACAGATAACACAGTCCAACAGGCTTCAACCTTCATGCCATACAGGTATAGGCAAGTAAATACTTTTTTCACACGTAAGTAACATTAAACAACCCCAAAAAAGATCTCTCAATAACCACACAAAATTGTTTGAGTGCCTTAGGGTTCTGTCAAGTGATATCTAGTAGATGTAAATGAATACTTTGGGAGCTTAATGCCCACAGCACTATGCCAGACTGTTTCAGAGTGCTTTCTGTCTTCATGGTCTTGCCTTTGTGCCTCTCCTACATGAATCCTACACAATTTTCAGCCTCTCCTACATGAAGTATGCTACCTTGGTACAAATTAACCTCACTTCTATCCTAAACCACATCCTGGTGGTTATCTGGTTCTCCAGGACTCATTCAAGTATTCAAACATAAATCTTAGCCTTTGTTCCAGGAGCAAATGAAGCTGTCAAAATGGTTTGTGCCCAAGATAGGAAATATTCTTGAAATTAAATTTCAGCTAATAAACTACTTTGCTGAAGCATGACCTCTAAATTTAGGACAATTCAATATCATGCAGGCCTGGAAGCAGGAAATCTACTAAAGCTGTACAGCTGAGCCACTGGAGTGCCTAGGACTGTCACTGATGAGTAGTTAGATAAAGGAGTGACGAGAAGATGTCAGAGGGTTGAAAGAGGACTGTACAGGACACCTTGTAGTACTACGTGGGAAACTGAGCAGGCTGGAAATAACTCAAACATAACATTTAAAGATACGTAATCTGAATAAATACTGCTGCAAACAAGTGATGATGTTTAAGTTGTGCTTAACAAAAACAATTTTACTATAACTTGCTGCACAGAATTAATAGAAATTACTAATGTTTGCAAGAAAAGCAGTTTCTCCGCTGTTATCTTCTGATGTTTATTCATTTCCTGTTTAGATTAAAAATAACATCCTTACCTTCAAAGTCAGATCTTCCTTATTTCATCTCCAACTAAAAATTACAGTGTTTAATTAAGAATAAAACCAGAATAAATAGCTATTAATTCAAATCTAATTAAGGTACTAGTAAGTTATATAGAGAGAATAGTGTGTGTATGCATGTAAAAGCAGAGTCTCAAGGTATTAGTACAGATTAGGGCTATCCACTTTCTCAGATAAAGGCACTAGAATTTGTTATCACAGGGTGAATATGTACTGCTTTAAAAACAGCTTTGTGAAAATGAGATGAAGAACTGTCTTTCATGACCAGAGGCACCTCAGGAACCTTTCAGACTTATAGCAAGTCAGTAGGGAGCATGAGTGAACCTTGGAAAGAGGAGATCTTGGAATAGTCGTGACATTTTCTTAACATTCCCAACAAGATGCACTTTAATACTAAAAAATAAATAAATAATGTGGGTTTGGCAGCTTTAAGAGTTATAAAAGTTCTTGCATAGTTCCGAGTGCTTGCTTGTAGGATGGAAGGCCTTAGCATTCTATTAGGTCTGATTGGCCTAGCCACTAATTGCAGCCTTCTTTGGAGCAGCAGATAAGATCTATGTGTAATGGTTATGATTACTAGGGGAGTGCACAGCACATGTCCATGACGCCACATGCTGGCTGGCTTGACAACATGCATGACTTGACCACAGACATCCTGCAGTGATTTGTAATACGGTAAGGGTAATGCAACAGAAAATTATCTATAATTTACATGACATGCCTTTCTACTTATCATCTCAAAGTATTTAATATCATTGCTGTGTGGAGAACAGTGCTAAAGGTCATTGGGATGAGTATGAAATTTAAGGAGTTTAGAACATAAGAAATATTCTTTCCTAATATTTATTTAAAAATATGCACAGCTGTGGGGTTTTTTTAATGGTAAAGTGGATTAAAAACAGACCCAAATTGATAATTTACTGAAATAGTTGAACTTCAAAGCACTTGAGGATTATTTCATTGACTGTGTACAAATACAATTACGTTATTTTCTTAGAAAGAGCTTTCTTGTTCAATTCTATTTCTTGCTCTGAATGAAATAAATTCCAATTGTTTTTGTAATTTTTTCTTCTCCCAGAAAGCCAAGTAGTGTATTTTTCATCACTACATTGATGGTAGGCCTTGATATTTTTTAAAGCAGAAACTGTTATGTTGTTTCACATTTAAAATATAAAATGCACATGAAACATTTCCTCCTTGTTAAAGATTATATTTGAAGCATCTTAATAATAATGCTGAGGAGGAGATGATATAAATACAGCTTAGACAGGCAGCCAATTTTTGAAAACTGTATACTTTCCAACTACATTATCTCTCTTTGACCCACATAGGTCACATCAGGAGAAACAGGGCTGGATCCTTACTTAAGAGGAAAACCATGCAGTTCAGTCAGCTCACAACTGGAAATGTCTCAGACTCTTAAATGTACCTGACTGTGCCTTTCTATTTACAACCTGCATAGCTCAGGCAAAGAGTTAAGGTAAATGTCACCTATACATACTTCAGCATCTAGATAAGCTGTGTAAAATCACTATTCGTTGACACCATCTTGTCTTAGCTAAAAAAGTTTTAGATATTTGCTGTATTAGCTTTTGCATCTAAAAGCAGCCCCACCATCCCACCTTAGGTAAAAGAAAACTGTCCCTCTTCTGCAACTCTTGTCTATTAAAGTTTGGTTCCCATCAAGAGGAGTAGGTGAAAGTAGTCAGGCAAAAACTCCTAAAATAGAAAGAATGGTTGAGGAAGAGAAAGTCATAAAATAATACGCTCTTGCTAATATCCAAATTCTCATTTTAAAAGTTAGTATTATGTAGTAAGTGTATCACTGCAGCTATCTTCCATTTGTCTAGTTCATCATGTCAATGATAAATATTCTGCAAGGTATACTGGCCTTGCTCTGAATGGTGTACTTTCACTTCACTGGGTTCTTGTAGCTAGCCAGTTACGGTGAGATTACTTACCTTTGCATCTAACAGTCATCCTCAAACTTTCTATTAATTTTCCTTTAATGATGTTTTCTT